CACTGAGGCCTTTGAGCTCTGTGTCCAGAGCCTCCTCCTCAGGGCATCCTGCTAACCTCTGTCCGTTGACGCCTTCAGGACGGGACTCTAGAATGTCAGAGCCCTCGAGCCAGGTGCCAAGGGGAGGCTTTGAGAGCTCAGAAGATGACCACCACCACCTGCCTGAGGCTCCCGGCCAGCTGCAGCTTCAAGAGATGCCATGGGGTCCAGCTGCCCTCGCTTAGGCCCCCGGTTGCTCCAGTGCTGCAGGGTTCACCTCACACATGTGAAGGTGCGAGAGACCTGTGTCCCCAGGGGTGAACCAGGATGTGCGGGGACCGGGGGCCATGGCCTGGGGCTGCCAGGGACAAATGCCCCAGAAGTCCTCGACATGGCTCCAGAAATGCTCCTCAGACCTGAGTGGCCCCAGCGGGGTAGGAGGGTGCCCCCCACCCCCGGAAGCACCCCCCAGGCTGAGGCAAAGGCTGTGGCTTTGGCTCCCTTGTCGGGGTAGGAGGGGGCTCAGGAGAGGACAGTGACTATTTTTATCTCTACCCAGACTGCGTGTTCTCTCCACAGAGATGCTTTCTGATTAACAAAGAAATAATTTAAGAATTGATTATCTTAATAAAATGTGCAAACCCAAAGCTCCCCCTTCTGTGTTTCTGAGCACCTCAGCTCCCATGGGGGCTGGGGTTGGTCTTCCCAGGTGGCTGGTCCCTCCCGGGCCCCATCCCTGAAGACAGCCTCAGCACGCACCAGCTCCACTCAGGAGTGAGGTGATATATGCAGAGTCCCAGGTCCTACGCCAGGACTTGGGTCTGAGGGCGAGTCTGAGGAGGGGCCCTGGGAATCTGCATTTTTGATTTGCACTCCACATGCCAGCCCTCAGCACCAACAGACCCCTCCTCAAGACCGCCCTGTCCCTGGCAAGGGGCCCAGGCCACCTCTGCAGAGCAGGCAGCCTTGACCATGTTACCGCTTCCACCTGCCTCGTCCGCATCCCAGGAGGTTCCCCCACTGAGCGCAGGGAGGGAGCACGCAGTCTCGGGACGGTGCCCTCCTCGAGTCAGGAGGGGGTGGCTTTTGCCACAGAGGCTCTCTGCGGCGGGCCGCCTGCTTCCGTGGGGGAACGCGCTCCAGTGGGCCGGGGCCTCGAGTGAGGCTAGAAAGGCGACAGGTTCATGTCACTGCGAGGAAGAACCGCGAGGCCTCGGCTGCTCGGTGTGGACAAGCGGGGCACAAACAGCCTTCGGAACCCCAGGCGTGCAGCCCCACAGGCTGGGGGTCGCGTGGCTGGCACCGGGCAAGTCCAACTGCCAGAGTTTGCTTTTTAGGCACAGCCCTGACCTCCCCACGTGGAAGGAAGGATGGCGTGGGCTCCCTGACACACGCAGTGAGTGGACGGTCTCTGGATACAGGTTTCCAGCGGCCGCCAGGCCCTTCCCGGCGCCCCAGCCACTGGTGGGACGGGGCTCCTCCGACGGGCGCCCGGCCCGTGGCCGACTGGGCCTGCTGCCTCGCCCTCGGTCTCTCACAGGCGTTACCCCCCCGACTAGGCCTCCCGCCCTGCGAGCTGCATCTCCGCATCTCCCCGCGGGCCCGGGCAGCGCGCGCGCCTCCGAGAGGCGAGCAAGGTTGTCTCCTGCACTTGGTGCGTTTCCCAGGGTCGTTTTGCCCCAACAAATGGATTTCGCTCTCCCTGATGACACTGGAGCCCTAGCCCGCCTCCTTGTATGGCAGGGGCTGTGTGAGGCCCAACCTGGGAGGAGACGTGGGGGGCCGAGGGCTCCGGCCCTTTTCCTCTGAAGCAGCCGTCCGTCCTATGGGAACCCAGAGGACTTGGAGACCTCCTGGCCGAGAGAGGTGCCAGTTTCGTTTGAGGGAGCCTGTCCCAGCCCTTGGGATTCCCAGGCCCAACACAAAGAGACTGGAGGCCCGCGTCCCCCGCTGCCCAGGACCAGCGTGCCTCCAGCAAAAGGCCCTTCCGCCTGTCTTCTGCCCTCCCCCACGCTCCCCAGGTTCGGACGTGCTAGGCCAGCCCCCGGGGGGGCAGGTGTCACTAAGCCCCCAGGGAGGGCGAGACCCACGTGGGGCGGGCACGGTGGCCGGAAAAAGAGCCTGCTGCAGGGCCTTGGGGTCAAGATGGCGGAGTAGGAGGACCACGAGCTCACCTCCCCTCACGACCACCACAAAACCACAGCAGACTGCTCAACGGCCATTGACAGAAAAGCCTGGAACCTATCAGAAAAGATCTTCAACTGGAGACATGAAGAGCAGGACTGTAGGAGGGGCGTGCTCATGATAGAATCGGGTTTCGTACCCCCCCCCATACCCGGTGGTGACCCAACTGGAGAAGAACCCCATGGCAGAGGCCCTCCCACAGGAGTGACAGTTCTAAGCCCACCCTCAGGCTCCCCAGCCTGGGGGTCCGGCACAGGGAGCAGGAGCCCCCAGAGCATTTGGCTCTGAAGGCCAGCGGGGCTTACTTGCAGGAGCGCCACAGGTCTGGGGGAAACAGAGACTTCATTCTTAAAGGGTGCACGCAAAGTGTCACACGCACCAGGACCAAGGGCCGGAGCCGTGACTTCACAGGAGCCTGGGCCAGACCTGTGCTGGTCTTAGAGGGTCTCCTGGGGAGGTGGGGCCAGCTGTGCCTCAGCCTGGCGGCATATAAGCTGGTGGCGGAAGTTCAGGGTTTGGGGAGTAGTCAGTCACATGAGTTTTCCTGGAAGCTGACACCGTGTTTGGATCATTAGCACCAAGACCTGGTTCCACCCAACAGCATGGGGGCCTAGGTGCTAGGCCGTCTCAGCCCAGACACCTGAGTGGGCGGGAACACAGCCCCATCCCTCAGCAGACGAGCTACGTAAAGATCTCCTGAGCCCACAGCTGCCTCTAGACAGGATCCTGCCCACCAGAGGGCCAGGACCAGCTCCACCCACCAGTGGGCAGGCCCCAGCCCCTCCGGCCAGGAGACCTGTACGAGCCTCTAGTCCAGCTTCACCCACCACGGGGTGGGCACCAGAACCAAGAAGACAACCTACAGCCTGTGGAACGAGTCCACAAACACAGGCCAGACTCTACCCTGGGACCAGCTGGCCCCTGGCCCTCGCGTGACAAGAGGGGACTGCCCTGCTGGGACACACAGGACGTCATCTACAGAGTCCTTTTCTAAGGTCAAGAAACGTAACTAACCCACCACACACTAAAAATAAAAATAGAAATCTAGACAAAATGAGGCAGCAGAGGAAGATGTTCCAGGCAAAGGAATGAGAGAAAATCCCACAAGAAGAACTAAACGATGAGGAGATGGGCAATCTACCCGAGGAAGAGTTCACAGTAATGGTCGTGAAGATGATCAGAGAACTTGGGAGGAGAATGGACGCACAGAGCAAGAAGTCAGTAGTTGTTAGCGAAGAGTTGGAAATATAAAGAACCAAGCAGTTGAAGAACACAGTAACTGAAATGAATAACACACTAGAAGGAACCAAGAGTAGATTAAATGAGGCCGAAGAACAGATCAGTGAGCTTGAAGACAGAGCAGTGGAAGTCATCACTGCAGAACAGAAAAAAGAATGAAAAGAAATGAGGATAATTTTAAGGGAACTCTGGGACAACATGAAGTGCCCTGACATTCACATTACAGGGGTCCTGGAGGGAGAAGAGAGAGGACCTGAGAAAATATTTGAAGAGATAAAAGCTGAGAACTCCCCTGACTTGGAAGAGGAAACAGGCACCCAAGTCCAGGAAGTGCAGAGAGTCCCACACAGGATTAACCCAGAGAGGACCACACCGGGGCACAAAGTCATCAAATAGACAAAAATTAAAGATAAGGAGAAAATATTAAACACAACAAGTGAAAAGCAACAAATAATGTACAAGGGAGCTCCCATAAGCTGACAGCTGATTTCTCAGCAGAAACTGCAGGCCGGAAGGGAGTGGCACGATATATTTAAAGTGATGAGAGGGGAAAACCTACACCCAAGACTGCTCTGCCCAGCAGGGCTCTCGTTCAGACTTGATGGAGAAATCAAAAGCTTCACGGAGAAGCAAAATAATTCAGCACCACCAAACCTGTACAACCAATGCTACAGGAATTTCTCTAGGTAGAAAAGGCCATGACTAGAAATGAGAAAGTTACAAAATGGAAAAGCTGACCAGTAAAGGCAGACAGACGGTAAAGGTAGGGGACCATCCACACACAAACCAAGAGGGACGTTAAAGCAGTAAACGTTAAAGCAGTAAAGTCATTTGTATCCACAGTAAGAGGTTAAAGGACACGCAGAACAATTAGATGGAAAAATACGATATCAAAACCAGCGATGGTGAGAGGCGGAGAGCATGACTGCAGGGCGTCTAAACTGCATTTGAAATTAAGAGGTCAGCAACTTAAACCAACCACGTGTATAGAGAGACTTCTATACCAGAGCCCCATGGCAACCACAAAACCAGAATTCTGTAATGAAAATACACACAAAAAAGGAAGAGGAGTCCAAACATAATGCTAAAGATAAGCCATCAAATCACAAGAGAACAGGACAAAAGAAGAAAGGGGGAAAAGACCCACAAAAACAAAGCCAAAGCAATGGAAATGGCAATAAGAACACACTCATCGATGATTACCTTAAAGGTAAAGGGATTAAACGCTCCAACCAAAAGACACAGACGCAGGCTGGCTGAATGGACACAGAAACAAGACCGGCATGCATGCTGCCTACAAGAGACCCACTTCACAGCTAGAGACACACACAGGCTGGAAGTGAGGGCGCGGGAAGAGATACTCCATGCAAA